CGAGGGATCGAGGACAGCGCGACGATGACGACCACGTCGCGGTGGCGGCGGCGGCGACGACGACGACAAAGTCTCATCTTAGAGCCTCTCGTGGGGGGGTCTCCGGGGGTTCTCTGGGAGGGTCTCTTGGGGGTCTGCAGAGCCCACGCTTACACGATCGAGGGCTCGAGGACAGCGCGACGACGACGACGACGTCGCGGTGGCGGCGGCGGCGGCGATGACGACGACACAGTCTCATCTTAGAGCCTTGCGTGGGGGGGTCTCTTGGGGTTCTCTTGGAGGGTCTCTTGAGGGTCTGTAGAGCCCACGCTTACACGATCGAGGGATCGAGGATAGGGCGGCGGCGGCGACGACGACGACAAAGTCTCATCTTAGAGCCTTGCGTGGGGGGTCTCTTGGAGGGTCTCTTGGGGGTCTGTAGAGCCCACGACGACGACGTCGCGGTGGCGGCGGCGGCGACGACGACGACAAAGTCTCATCTTAGAGCCTTGCGTGGAGCGGTGTCTTGGGGTTCTCTTGGAGGGTCTCTTGGGGGTCTGTAGAGCCCACGCTTTCACGATCCGACGACGTCGCGGTGGCGGCGGCGGCGACGACGACGACAAAGTCTCATCTTAGAGCCTTGCGTGGGGTGTCTCGGGGTTCTCTTGGAGGGTTTCTTGGGGGTCTGTAGAGCCCACGCTTTCACGATCGAGTGATCGAGGACAGCGCGACGACGACGACGACGACGTCGCGGTGGCGGCGGCGGCGACGACGACGACAAAGTCTCATCTTAGAGCCTTGCGTGGGGGGGTCTCCGGGGGTTCTCTTGGAGGGTCTCTTGGGGGTCTGTAGAGCCCACGCTTACACGATCGAGGGATCGAGGACAGCGCGACGACGACGACGTCGCGGTGGCGGCGGCGGCGACGACGACGACGATCCAGCGTAATCCAGGCCCCCAGCGAATCCGTGTGTTCTTACGTATGTGCCTATAGATTAGGCTTCCCAGGTCCACACGGCCCCCAAAGAGTTCCCTCAGGGCCCCCAAAGAGCTCCAAGACGGTCCGAGAGGGCCTTGGGATCGCCCGAGGCAGCATGCAGCACTACCGACGGTACGGCAGCAGCGACGACCGTGCCTTGCGCTTGTGGGACATCTGTTTTTACGTCCCGCTCGCAGGAATTCCAGATGTCTCGCGCGTGCCGCGTCCCGCGCGCAGGAATTTCGAGGATGTCTCGACTAATTCGTTTGTTTTGCCATGATTTCCTTGGATTTTGACAGGATGTCTCGAGCGAAACGCTTGTCCCCAGCACGTTCCGTAGCGCGTCTCCTTGGCACGTCCCGCGGTGCGTCCCCATGGCACGTCCCTTGGCACGTCGCTGGGCGCGTCCCTTGAGACGTTCCGCGGCGCGTCCTCCTGGCATGTCCCCCTGTCATTTAGCTCTGGGGCAGCTACTCTGTCTTCAGGCAGCTCGAGCTTAAGATCGAGATCAGTTCGGTCAGGACTCGGATGCAAAGGAGGACTCGATCCACGAGCCTATAGAGCACAATCGCGGCATGGCGCATCGCAATTCAGCACGGCGCAGCACAGCACAGCCCTCGGCACGGTACATCAAGATCGATACACTCAGCATTGCAACTTGGCACGTTCCTTGGCACGTTCCGTGGCGCGTCCCTTAGCGAGTCTCCCTGGCACGTCGCGTGGCGCGTCCCCTGGCACATCCCGTGGCACATCCATTGGCACGTTCCGTAGCGCGTCCCCTTGGCACGTCCCGCGGTGCGACCCCATGGCATGTCCCCTGGCACGTCGCCTGGCGTATCCCTTGGGACGTTTCGCGGCGCGTCCTCCTGACATGCTTCCCTGTCCATCAGCTCTGGGGCAGCTACTATGTGTTCAGGCAGCTCGAGCTTAAGATCGAGATCAGTTCGGTCAGGACTCGGATGCAAAGGAGGACTCGATCCACGAGGCTATAGAGCACAATCGCGGCATGGCACATCGCAATTCAGCACGGTGCAGCACAGCACAGCCCTCGGCAGGGTACATCGAGATCGATACACTCAGCATTGCATTTGCCCGTCACCCAATCAGGTGTCTTTGAAAACGCTGCCATGTGTTACAGTTCTATATTCCTTTCCGGGTTCGTGGGTCGATCATGTTCGCTGCTGCTTCCAACGCCCCGTTGTGGTCGGTCCCTGCTTTTTCCCGGAAAGGGCGCGGGCCCAGGGTTCTCTTTTTCCCGGAAAGGGCGCGGGCCCAGGGTTCTCTTTAAGTAGGTTAACCCCCCGGCCCCCCTGCGACTTGGGCCGGCGAAATTATTTTGCGAGCGGGCACGCACGGAGTAAGGCCGGCGAAATTATTTTTGAGGATGTCTCGAGCGAAACGCTTGTTTTTCAGAATTTGTTGAGGATGTCTCGAGCGAGACGCTGGTTTTGCAGAGTTGGGGATGTCTCGAGCGAAACGCTTGGGTTCAGAATTTGTTGAGGATGTCTCGAGCGACACGCTGGTTTTGCAGAGCCGACCGCGACACGGAAAAGCGCCCCTCGCGCAGGAATTCCAAGGATGTCTCGCGCATGCCGCGTCCCGCGCGCGGGTATTTGGATTTCTTGGGATTTTGACAGGATGTCTCGAGCGAAACGCTTGTTTCTCATAATTTGTTGAGGATGTCTCGAGCGAAACGCTGGTTTTGCAAAATTGGAGGATGTCTCGAGCGGTGGCCTCGTGGGGGGCCAGAATTCAAAGGATGTCTCAGGCGAAATGCTTGTTTTCACGTCCCGCTCGCAGGAATTCCGAGGATGTCTCGCGCGTGCAGCGTCCCGCGCGTAGGAATTCAGATGATTTTGACAGGATGTCTCGAGCGAAACTCTTGTCCCCAGCACGTTCCGTAGCGCGTCCCCTTGGCAGGTCCCGCGATGCGTCCCCATGGCACGTCCCTTGGCACGTCGCTTGGCGCGTCCCTTGAGACGTTCTGCGTCGCGTCCTCCTGGCATGTTCCCCTGTCCATTAGCTCTGGGGCAGCTGCTATGTGTTCAGGCAGCTCGAGCTTAAAGATCCAGATCAGTTCGGTCAGGACTCGGATGCAAAGGAGGACTCGATCCACGAGGCTATAGAGCACAATCGCGCCATGGCACATCGCAATTCAGCACGGCGCAGCACAGCACTGATTTCGGCACGGTACATCAAGGTCGATGCACTCAGCATTGCAACTTGGCACGTTCCTTGGCACGTTCCGTGGGCGTCCTTTGGCGAGTCCCCCTGGCACGTCGCGTCGCGCGTCCCCTGGCACATCCCGTGGCACATCCATTGGCACGTTCCGTAGCGCGTCCCCTTGGCACGTCCCGCGGTGCGACCCCATGGCACGTCCCCTGGCACGTCGCCTGGCGCATCCCTTGGGACGTTTCGCGGCGCGTCCCCCTGGCATGTTCCCCTGTCCATGAGCTCTGGGGCAGCTACTATGTGTTCAGGCAGCTCGAGCTTAAGATCCAGATCAGTTCGGTCAGGACTCGGATGCAAAGGAGGACTCGATCCACGACGCTATAGAGCACAGTCGCGCCATGGCACATCGCAATTCAGCACGGCGCAGCACAGCACAGCCCTCGGCAGGGTACATCAAGATCGATACATTCAGTATTGCATTTGCCCGTCACCCAATCAGGTGTCTTTGAAAACGCTGCCATGTGTTACAGTTCTACATTCCTTTCCGGGTTCGTGGGTCGATCATGTAGTAGGTTAACCCCCCGGCCCCCCTGCGACTTGGGCCGGCGAAATTATTCTGCGATAAATTACGGGCGGGAGTAGGGCCGGCGGAATTATTTTTGAGGATGTCCCTAGCGAAACGCTTGTTTTTCAGACTTTGTTGAGGATGTCTCGAGCGAAACGTTGGTTTTGCAGAGTTGGGGATGTCTCGAGCGAAACGCTTGGTTTCAGAATTTGTTGAGGATGTCTCGAGCGAAACGCTGGTTTTGCAGAGCCGACCGCGACACCGAAAAGCGCTCCTCGCGCAGGAATTCCGAGGATGTCTCGCGCGTGCCGCGTCCCGCGCGCGGGAATTTTGATTTCTTCGGGTTTTGGCAGGATTTCTCGAGCGAAACGCTTGTTTTTCATAATTTGTTGAGGATGTCTCGAGCGAAACGCTGGTTTTGCAAAATTGGGGGATGTCTCGAGCGGGGGCCTCGTGGGGGGCCAGAATTCAGAGGATGTCTCAGGCGAAATGCTTGTTTTCGTGTCCCGCTCTCAGGAATTCCGAGGATGTCTCGCGCGTGCCGCGTCCCGCGCGTAGGAATTCGGATGATTTTGATAGGATGTCTCGAGCGAAACGCTTGTCCCCAGCACGTTCAGTAGCGCGTCTCCTTGGCACGTCCCGCGGTGCGACCCCATGGCACGTCCCCTGGCACGTCGCCTGGCGCATCCCTTGGGACGTTTCGCGGCGCGTCCTCCTGGCATGTCCCCTTGTCAATTAGCTCTGGGGCAGCTACTATGTGTTCAGGCAGCTCGAGCTTCAGATCCAGATCAGTTCGGTCAGGACTCGGATGCAAAGGAGGACTCGATCCACGACGCTATAGAGCACAGTCGCGCCATGGCACATCGCAATTCAGCACGGCGCAGCACAGCACAGCCCTCGGCAGGGTACATCAAGATCGATACACTCAGCATTGCATGTGCCCGTCGCCCAATCAGGTGTCTTTGAAATGTTGCAATGCCTTACATTTCTATATTCCTTTCCGGGTTCGTGGGTCGATCATGTTCGCTGCTGCTTCCAACGCCCCGTTGTGGTCGGTCCCTGCTTTTTCGTCACTGCGCTGGCGAGGGGCTAGCCTGAACGGGGGGGCCGTCGCAGCGCCTCTTGCCGCCGTGCAGGAGGAGAGGCGAGGGGCAGAGGGAGGCGTGCACGCCCGCCCTGGACCGCCCAGGAGGGGGTCGGGCCCGTGGCAGGGACTGCGTATAGATCTCGTCGCCCTGCTCTGCGGCCAGCCCTCGCTCCTGCGACGAGGACCTCCCGGGAGGTGCCTCCCCCCCACCCTGCGGCAGGGATCCCCTTCGGGCGGGCTCCAGCAGCGCATCGCCGACGGCAAGAAGGTGACGATCCGGGGCCTGCTCCAGCAGAAGGAGCCCGCCGCCGCCCTCCTCTTCACCCCCCACCGAAACCATCCCAGGCGAGCCCGAAGGCTTCAATCTGCCCTCCGTTTCCAGCGGGGGGGGGGCGTTTCCGGGGGGGCGGGGGGGGCGGGAAACATCGAGGAAACATTGATGAAACCCGTACCCCCCCCACCCCACCCGAAATTCGGGTCTGCGGGTTGGGAGGAGGAGGAGGAGGAGGAGAAGGAGAAGGAGGAGGAGGAGGGGGAGGAGGAGGAGGTTGGGGTGGTCTGGTAGGTAGTCACGTCCTCCTCTGCCGAGGGCTCCTCGGGCGCGCCGCCGGCACCCCCACCGTCTCGTCGGCTGTTCCGTGGGCGCGCAGTGTATTTTTTCCCGGAAAGGGCTGAAGCCCAGGGTTCTCTTTTGGATGGTTTACCCCCGGTTTTGACTTGTTGAGGGCCGGCGAAATTATTCTGCGTAAATAACGAGGTAAAGTGCTGTTTTTTGTTTGAAGGGCGTTTCGTGCGTGCCCGCTCGAAGAAAGTGCGCCCCCCATCTCGGATCCTCTATAAAAAACGGGGTCCGTAGATCCCCGTTTTCCTTTGTAAAAAAGAGGGTGCGGAGCGTTTTTCGCTGAATCCTCGACAGTTCCAACCGCGACGCGGAAAAGCGCCCCGTGCGCAGGAATTCCGAGGATGTCTCGCGCGTGCCGCGTCCCGCGCGCAGGAATTTCGAGGATGTCTCGACTAATTCGCTTGTTGTGTCAGGATTTCTTGGAATTTTGGCAGGATGTTTCGAGCGAAACGCTGGTTTTTCATCATTTGTTGAGGATGGCTCGAGCGAAACGCTGGTTTTGCAAAATTTGGGGATGTCTCGAGCAGGGGCTTCGTGGGGGGCCAGAATTCAGAGGATGTCTCAGGCGAAATGCATGTTTTCATGTCCCGCTCGCAGGAATTCCAGAAATGTCCCGCGCGCAGGAATTTCGAGGATGTCTCGACTAATTCGTTTGTTTTGTCAGGATTTCTTTGAATTTTGGCAGGCTGTCTCGAGCGAAACGCTTGTTTTTCATAATTTGTTGAGGATGTCTCGAGCGAAACGCTGGTTTTACAAAATTTGGGGATGTCTCGAGCGGGGGCTTCGTGGGAAGAGGAGAAAGAAAATAGCAGCAGATTCATGAGCGGATGTCTCAGGCGAAATGCTTGTTTTCGTGTCCCGCTCGCAGGAATTCCAAGGATGTCTCGCGCGTGCCGCGTCCCGCGCGCAGGAATTTTGAGGATGTTCCGTAGCGCGTCCCCTTGGCACGTCCTACGGTGCGACCCCATGGCACGTCCCTTGGCACGTCGCCTGGCGCGTCCCTTGGGACGTTTCGCGGCGCGTCCTCCTGGCATGTCCCCCTGTCAATTAGCTCTGGGGCAGCTACTATGTGTTCAGGCAGCTCGAGCTTCAGATCCAGATCAGTTCGGTCAGGACTCGCATGCAAAGGAAGACTCGATCCACGACGCAATAGAGCACAACCGCGGCATGGCACATCGCAATTCAGCACGGTGCAGCACAGCACAGCCCTCGGCACGGTACATCAAGATCGATACAATCAGCATTGCACTTGCCCGTCACCCTATCAGGTGTCTTTGAAAACGTTGCCATGCGTTACATTTCTATATTCCTTTCCGGGTTCGTGGGTCGATCATGTTATGTCGGGGTCTCCCTGCGGTTCCGTGCGCGCCGCCGGCGCCCCCACCGCCTCGTCGGCTGTTCCGTGGGCGCGCAGTGTACTTTTTATGTCGGGGTCTCCCTGCGCTTCCGGCCTCGGGGGGGGCATGTTCGAAGAGGGCACGGTTCGCCCCTGAACGTTTGCGGCCGCAGAACGCGACGCGCGAAGCGATGCTTGCAAGTGGCCGTGCAGCTGCACGAGAGGACACGAGCGGACAAGTCGTGCCCCCCCCCCCCGTCTGGCACCACGCATGGGAGCCTCGCATCGCCTAGCAGTTGCAGCTTTGGGGTATATCTGCGTACGCGAGCGCCTGGTGACCGATGAGACGGCGCCGATTCAGCGTCGACCAGCGTCGATTTAGCATCGCCTGGCGTCGGCCAGCGTCGATTCGCAAGGGCCAGCAAGATTCACCGAGCGCGTTGCACTACTCGCAAAGTGCCTACTCGCAACCGCCCATAAAAAAAACAGGCCCGCTCTGCTGCCATGTATCGTAGATCCCCCCGCGGCGGATCCAGGCCATTTGCGAGTAGTTACTGTGCGAGTACAGTTGGGGCCCTGAAGAAGGAACCCTTTTCGTTGGGGAGGGGCTCAGCGTTCCTTAAGTGTTTCGCAGCTTGCCTCAGGTTTTCCTTATGTTTTCGATTGGAAATCGAAGTCTAACTTGTGGAAAAAAGAGGCCTCGTTCCTTCTTGTGGGCTCCTTAGGTCAAGGCCCCGACTGTGGTGGAACGCGCTCGTCTAAAGATGGCAGCGTGGCAGGTGGGCCTGGAGCTAAGCCTCGCCCGCGCGCGAGTGGCCGCGTGCTGAGCGCGGCCGTGGCGCGGCCACGGCCTGCCGCGGGCGGCCGCGGCGGGAGCGCGCACGGCAGGCCGCGGCGGGGGAGCGCGCCCGGCAGGCCGCGGCGGGCGCCGAAGCAGAGCGCGCCGTGCAGAGAGGGGTTTTCGGAGCTCCGCGCGGAGCTCCGGGGGTTTACGTGTGTCCATTGGTGGTCCCCAAACGTGGTGGTGAGAACACCCGGTGGTGAGTTTGGGGCGATTTGGGTAATGGTTTTCGAGCGCTGGCTGGCCCAGGAAACGCAGAACCTCGTGGCGGCCGCGTGTCCCCAAACCCGGTGGTGACCCAGAATTATTTTTAGGGGAATCGGGGTCACCACCGGGTGTCTCACCACCTGGTTTGGAGACCACCAAGTTCAGAGCGTGAATGACCTACCCCGCTTTCGCTTCCAGGCAAAGCCAAGTCATACCACGCGCCTCCTCGTCAAGCGGCCTGGCCAGTGCAGGCTGCAAGTTGGCATCGTTTGGTATCGCTTGGAAGCGAGGGTGGTCAGAAGCGAGGTAGGTTTGTGTTCCCCGTATGTGTGTCGTGTGCCACGTGTTCTCTCTTGAGGGAGGAGGAGCGGTTTGTCCGGTACCTCCCCTCGGCTGCCGCCGCGGCCCGGGTTATCTTCCCGCCCCTGCGGGCCACTACTCTTTGCGAGGTGCTTTAGCACTGCTGCACCTGCACCCGTCCGCGGCCTGATGTGCCTGCTGCTTCGCGTAAGTCGGCGAACGTTCCCAAGTCAGTGCTTGTGCTGAGGGGGTCCTAGCGGAAATTGGAAGATTTGGCGAAAGTTTCCCGCCGATTCTGGTGGCCGGCTGGGTTCCCGGGTTCCGGTTCCGGGTTCCTGGGTTCCTGGGTCATTGGTTCCGGGCCGATTTCGGTGGGTTCCGGGTTCCCGGGTTCCCAGTCGATCTCTTTTATCCAAAACCATCCATTGATTGGGGTTTCTCTCTGGTGTGAATGACTTTTCCACCTCCACTAACGCTTCCGGCATCGGCCTCAAGCCCGCGCAGCGTCACAAAAGTACAGGGCGGCAAGGGCGAGGACGAGGAGAAGAAGGGGCGCTGGCCGAGAGCTGTGGCGGCCGCTGGCCGCGGTGGGCAGCGTCACTTCGCGCCCTTCTGCAGCGGAGGCCTCCGCAGTTGCAGCGGCGGGGCCAGCCTCACCTGCGTTCGGCGTCGCTGGCTTTGCTGGTGTGTTCAGCTCGGCCCCCTGTCTGCTGCTTGTGCTGCCTCGGCGTCGAGGGTACTGTACCTCCTCCGCCCGACCGTCGCAGTCATCGCTACTATATGTGGCCATTATGTTTGGGGGCGTTGGTGAGCAAGCATGCCCTTGGTCCTTGATTGCGCTACTGGTTGCCCAAGGTCGCTATTTGACTTGGGTAGGGTGAGTGCTACGTGACCTGGGAGCAAATGCTTCTGCTTGCCATAGCTAGAACGCACGTGTCGAGGGTGTCGCAGTCTGCTCCCGCTTGCCATCCACAGTCGTGCCCCATTTCTCCGGGCGAAGCGCTTTGTGGCTGCCATCCGCGAGGAGTACAATGGCAAGAATGGCCAGATCAAGGGCTTCGACGCGGAGACTGGCCGATACCAGGTCAAGGTGCATGGGAACCAACGTTTCGTGCGGAGCCGCTTTGTCTCAGACTGCGTATCCACCTCGATCCCCAGCGTGTGCCCCCGCGCCCCAGCTCATTCTCCCCCTCTCGCTTCTCCGCCTGCTCCCGTCTGCTCGCCCTTCGTCCTCGCGTTCCTGTTTCGGTTTCCTTGTCTGCGTCTCCGTGGGGCTGATCACGTGCCGTCCACTATGGCACTCCTGGCGGCGTTGCTCAGGACTCCCTGGAGGAAGCCCTCACCCTACCCCCTCATCCTCCTGGCCCCTCGTCCTCATCCCTCCCTTGCCCTCCTGCTCCTCCACGTCCGCCTCCATCCCAGTCGCACCCCGAGGCGTGTCGGCAGGGCGGGCCGGGCGCTACGCTGGAGACTCTCTCGCAACGTGTCTGATCCTGCAGCGTTTCAATTACCAGCCTCGAACTAATCCCTATCCCTAAGATTGGCACGCCAAAAGGCGATGACCAAATCTTAGGGATTCGCCGTCAAAAAAGTAAGGGAATCCCTAAGATTGGCATCGTGATGAGGAGATGCCCAGCATAGGGATAGGGATATGTTCCAGGCTGGTAATGAGAGAGTGCGCACGAAGCTTCAGAGTACTTGTGGTTAGCACCCCAGGGATGGCGTTGTGGCACGGTGCCGGGATGTCAGGCCGCACCAGTGAAGGTGGGTTCGCGGTGTTGCAGTCCCAGGCATGGTGTGTTGGCACGATTCGTGATCGCCAAGACGCCACAGTAAGGGTGATTCGCGGCACTGCGGTCCCAGGAGCGGTGTTCTAGCACAAATTGGATGTTCAAATTGCTGTCTTCGAACGGGGCACTCCCTTCAGTGAAAATGAATCCTTGTAGGGGCCTATGAATCCTTGTAGGGGCCAATATCGTTGATAAGGTCTTGGGTTTGCACTGGTCCTCCTCCTCCTCATCATCCTCCTTCTTCTCCTCCTCCGATTATTCCTTTTGAGTTGGCCAGACCTTATGTGTGCACATGAGGCGTTCTTATTATTCCCAACCCTCCTTTGATTGTTTCTCGTTATGAATAGAGCAGTGTGGTCTCCACCCTCCTTCTCCCGCCTCCTCCTCTCCTACTTCTCTCCTGTCTCCTGTGTTCCCTTCTCCTCTTCTCTCGTGCCGTCGGGCTGCGACCTGCGCAACTGTCGCCACTTTCGTGGGCTCCTGGGAGGCCCAGCGGAGGTACGTCATACGCGGATCACCTCGGTACCTCGCCGCCCCTTGGGGGGCTTGTGATCTGCGCAACTGTCGCTACTTTCGTGGGCTCCTGGGAGGCCCAGCGGAGGTACGTCATACGCGGATCACCTCGGTACCTCGACGCCCCTTGGGGGGCTTGCGATCTGCGCAAGTGTCGCCACTTTCGTGTGGGCTCCTGAGAGGCCTAGCGGAGGTACGTCATACGCGGATCACCTCAGTACCTCGCCGCCCCCTGGGGGCGCCACTTTCGTGGGCTCCTGGGAGGCCCAGCGGAGGTACGTCATCCGCGGATTACCTCGGTACCTCGCCGCCCCCTGGGGGGCTTGCGATCTGCGCAAGTGTCGCCACTTTCGTGGGCTCCTGGGAGGCCCAGCGGAGGTACGTCATACGCGGAACACTTCGGTACCACGCCGCCCCCTGGGGGGCTTGTGATCTGCGCATATGTCACCACTTTCGTGGGCTCCTGGGAGGCCCAGCGGAGGTACGTCATACGCGGGTAACCTCGGTACCTCGCCGCCCCTTGGGGGGGCTTGAGATCTGCGCAATTGTCGCCACTTTCGTGGGCTCCTGGGAGGCCCAGCGGAGGTACGTCATACGCGGATTACCTCGGTACCTCCCCGCCCCTTGGGGGGCTTGCGATCTGCGCATCTGTCGCCACGTTCGTGGGTTCCTGGGGGCACCAGCGGAGGTACGTCATACGCGGATTACCTCGGTACCTCGCCGCCCACTGGGGGGCTTGCGATCTGCGCGACTATCACCACGTTCGTGGGCTCCTGGGGGCCCAGCGGAGGTACGTCATACGCGGATCACCTCGGTACCACGCCGCCCCTTGGGGGGCTTGTGATCTGCGCATCTGTCACCACTTTCGTGGGCTCCTGGGAGGCCCAGCGGAGGTACGTCATACGCGGGTAACCTCGGTACCTCGCCGCCCCCTGGGGGGCTTCCGATCTGCGCAATTGTCGCCACTTTCGTGGGCTCATGGGATGCCCAGCGGAGGTACGTCATACGCGGGTAACCTCGGTACCTCGCCGCCCCTTGGGGGGCTTGCGATCTGCGCAAGTGTCGCCACTTTCGTGGGCTCATGGGAGGCCCAGCGGAGGTACGTCATACGCGGGTAACCTCGGTACCTCGCCGTCCCCTGGGGGGCTTGCGATCTGCGCAAGTGTCGCCACTTTCGTGGGCTCCTGGGAGGCCCAGCGGAGGTACGTCATACGCGGATCACCTCGGTACCTCGCCGCCCCTTGGGGGGGTCTTTTTGCGTATTGCGGGTCTTTCAGAATGCCAGTCAGCATTGAATGGTCTTGCGTATGATCGCCACATGTATAGAAAGGGTTGGATACGTCATTGCGTGATTCCTCCTCCTTCTTCTCGTCCTCCTCCTTATTCCCCATCCCCCTCCCTCCTATCTCTCGGCCTTCCTTCCTCCAGTTCTTATACTCCTCCCCCCTCTTCCTCTCATCCTCCCCAACCATCCTCCTCCCTCGCTCGTTCTTTTTTTCCCCCCTCCTCCTACTTCTACTGATCCTCCTCCTCCTCCTCCGTCTCCTCCTTCCGTCCTCCATCCCACCCTCCCTCCTCCCCCTCCTTCGCCCATCCCTTCTCCGTCTGCTCGTCCTTATTCCCCACCACCCCGCTCGCTCCTACCTCGCTCCTCCTCAACATGCTCCCGCCTCTTCCAGAAATCATCGGAGCCTTGCCGAGAAGCTGGGGTATGCCCTGAGCGCCTCCCCAACGCATCCTGGGGCGCCCTGCAGGTGGTGGTGCTCGCGAAGGAGCACGCGGGCATGCTTGGGGGGCAGGACCGCGCGGGAGGGGAGGAGGGAGGGGCGGGGATGGATGGGGGAGGGAGGGACGGGGATGGATGGGGGAGGGAGGAGCGGGGGGGTGGAGGGTGGTGGGGGGGAGGGAGGGAGGGAGGGGGAGGGAGGGAGGAGGGGGGCGGGGAGAAGGAGGAGGAGGAGGAGGAGGAGCAGGAGGAGGAGGAGAACGAGGAGGAGGAGGAGGAGGGCCGTAGTAGCATTTTTGGCTCAAGACCATCTGCAGGATCCATTCCCCGCACTCGAGGCCTGGGGGCCGCAAGGCGGGCTTCAGCCCTTTGGCTACCACCTCGCGATGGCGGCACGGCGGGCGCAACCAGCTAAGTAGAGTACGATGAGAAATGGCGACAAAAGGAATTGTACGGGCAGTGCGGGGCCAAGGCCGTTGCGAGTTGCGGCATGCAGGGTTGGTTACACGATGCGGCAGAGCCTGAACCCCAGATGGAGGGACATTTCCGCCATGGTGACCGCTATGGCGAACGTCAGGTACGACACCACGTACAGCAGCACTTACAACACAAAGCAAGACACCAAGTACGACACCGAGAACGATACCACAAAGCACAGCGCCAGGCACGACAAGGCCGAGCAGCCCGAAGGGGGTATCAAGTACATCATCGTGGGGGTACTTGTGGAGCACGGCTACGCCGCTTACGAAGATCACGGCTACGCCGCCTACAACAGCTACAGCAAGCATACATCGGCCCAATGACAGTTCCTGGAATTTTCATCACGACGCTGGCCGGCGGAAGTCGACGGAAGTAAAACGAGGCGGAAGACGGGGGAAGGCCGCCGGAAGGCTTGCCAATGTCAGCGGAAGTAAACGACGCCCCTTCCGAACCCCCTACCCCCGTAGAAGCCTAGCAATGTTGTCTTCCTCCGTGGGCCGGGCGGGATCCCGCCTGGCTTATTCCGCTTTAATATTATAAGTTTAGTTCAGGACGATCAAAATCCCACCCATTAAAAATGGGGTAGACCAAAATCCCGGGCCGTTCACGGATCCCACCATGCTGGGATCGGCTCGAAGTAAGATGGGGCTCATAAGTTGCAGTATTATTGCCGTGTTGGGGTCGTCTTGAGGTCATCTTGAGATCATATCCCGGTCATGTTTGGATCACGCAACCATCGCGTGGTCATTATGAGGCCACCCTGGGTGCGCTTGGATCCATCTTGTTGCCATCGGGCCATCTCGGCGTCACGCGTTGCTCATGTGTTTCGTCATCTGCGAGTCGGCCTGAGACGGTCCAGAATCCATGGCGGGATCGCGTTGGGGTGGCATCATCCTGGGTCCTCTGGACGTTATCGTCCGTGGCCTGAGGCATTCCTGGAAGCATGTTGTGGCCATGGGACGTCTTGGGATCGCGTGCGTGCGAACGCTGAGCACGCGCGCGCGCGACTTTCATCTTGCCGACGGGTTTACATACATATTATTCCTCCTGCGAGTTTCCAAGGAAACTTTTGTTGGAGCCAAGTAACGGCCACAACGATTACACCGCGTCAGGCGTTCTCACCCGACCGCCCACCGCGCAGGCTTTTCGAGAGCCACCAGCAGAACTTGGGCCACAAGCAAAGGTACGAGGGGGCCGCCAGCAGAATTTTGACGACAAGACGCACGGCTTCGAGGTCCACCTGCGCAGCCACCAGGGCCACTAGCAGAGATACGAGGGCCACCAGCTGAGCTACGAGGGCCACCAGCAGGGCTTCAACGGCAAGAAGTAGAGCCCCAAGGGCCACCAGCTGGGCCTCCAAGGTCACCAGCAGAGCTTCGACGGCAAACAGCAACGCGTCGCGATCCGCCAGCCGAGCCTCGAGAGCTACCAGCAGAGCCTCGACGGCAAGGAGCAGGGCATCACGACCAATTGGCTGAACTTCCCAGGCTACGACGGCAAGAAGCAGACCTCCGAAGGCCGCCAGCCCAGCTTCGAGAGCCAGAGCTGACCACGGAGAGCCACCAGCAGAACTGCGAGGACCACCTGCTGAGCAAGGTGAGCCACCAGAAGAGCCACGAGGGCCACAGGCAGGTCTACGAGGACCACCAGCCGAGCTACGGGGGCCACCAGCGGAGTCACGCGGGCCCCCCGCTGAGGCACGAGAGCCACCAGCAGAGCTACGCGGGCCCCAGGCTGAGCGACCAGGACCACGCGCTGAGCTACGAGGGCAACGAGCTGAGCTACGAGGGTCACCAGCAGAGCTTCCAAGGCCACCAGCTAAGCTGCGAGGGAGGCCAGCGGAGCTTCGAGGGCCGCAGGCAGAGCTGCTGGAGCCACCAGCAGAGCTACCAGGGACACCCCCGAGCATCCAGAGCCCCCAGCAGCGCTACGAGGGCCACCAGCTGAAGTATGATGGGCCACATGCTGAGCAAGGAGAGCCACCAGCAGAACTACGGGCCACCAGCCGGGCTATGAGGGGAACAAGCTTTGCTCCGAAGGCCATCTGGGGAGTCACGAGAGCCCCCTGCAGGTTTACCAATGCGACGAGTTGACTTGCAGGGGCCACGAGCAGAGCTCCGAGAGCCACCAGCAGAGCTACGAGGGGCACCTGCCGAACCGAGGAGCAACATGCTGAGCTGCGAGGGGCAGAGCGCTGAGCTACGAGGGCCGCGAGCAGACCGACTCGGGCCCCGAGCTGAGCTACGAGAGCCATTGGCAGAGTTACGAGAGCCACGAGCAGAACTGACTGGGCCACAAGAACAAGCTGGAGTGAGTACCTGAACGTGCAGGACTGTCATAAGGGCCCCTAGCCCGAATCATCGGGTTTGAAGGCCAGCAGCGCTGCAATGGCCTCGAGGGGACCT